TGTCCTTGATACTTCTGATAGAAGGGCCTCCTCCTGGAGTCTTCTTCCTCCTAAGTAATAATAGTGTCTTCTCCTTTGTTCCCCTTCCAGTATTTCCAGGGTTCTTTCCTGGATTCCATTTAGCCTAGGGGGGATGGGGGTGGTCTTCAGCAGCTCCCAGAGCTTGAACCCCTTTCTGCCACATAGCACACTTTGAAAGTGTTTGTGAAATAACTTAGAGTCTAATTGTCTTCGGTTCCTTTGTTCTCCACTCGTCCATAGGTGACTCAGGGCTAGGACCTTATCTATCTCATTTATCTCAGCATCTCTTCACACCCCCAGCACACTGTGGCACCTAGTAGGTGCTCAGTAAATATTTATGGGCAAACAACAATCCGTCTTGCTCTCACCATTTTGCCAGCTCTATGAATGCAGGCAAATTACTTAATCTCTAGAAGTTTTCAATCTCTTTATATGTAAATTAGGGATTTGCAATTGACTCTATCTTCTACCCATTGCTTGGAGGGTGGTGAATTAAGAAAATTGTGTATAAAATTCACAGTGAAGACTCATTACTGTTATAGTGGTTTTGTTTTTATTGTTGGCTGCTTGTGTGATTTTGGGAGAACTTGTCTGAACTTCAGTGTTATCACATTAAAAAATTACTCTCTAGATGGGCTGCTGGGAGGGCCCTGTGAGATGGAAGGAGATAGGAGGTGTGTAAAGAAGGTTAATCCTCTCTCCTTGAGTTCTCCCATTCCCTAGTCTGGAGAGACCCCTGACTGCACTGGCTTATTTTATCCCTCTATGGGCTGATGGGGTGACAAAGGAAGAAAGTGTTGGGGATTGTGGTTGAGCTGCTCCCAGGCATTGTGTAAAAACAAAGCACATTCCTTTAGCCTCAGAAGGTCTACACACCATTAACGCTTCCCCTCCACTGTGTCTTCCTAAAGAGCTTAGTGTAGACTAATATTGAAAGAAATAAGATTTAAAACAAAATGAGAAATCAACTCAGAGTCATTTTGAGTCACTTCAAACCAGTTTGGCAAAATGAGCATTCTTGGGTATTTCTTCTACATTTGGAATTAATCTCTAGAGTAATGAAAATAAAAATAAATAAATAGAATTAGTCTAGTTTCACCCTAGAAGGATCTAGACTAGGGAAAAATTATTGCTACAGCTTTTGTGGTGGGTGGTAGAGTCTTTTTAGTTTTTTTTAATTTTTTTCCAAAACAGGTCCCTGTTCTCTTTCTATTAGCTGTGTCTACCTCCTTCTTTGAAACAGGCATGTAATAAATATTCATTGGAAGGACTGATGCTGAATCTGAAGCTCCAATACTTTCGCCACCTGATTTGAAGAGATGATTCATTGAAAAAGACCCTGATGCTGGGAAAGATTGAACGCAGGAGGAGAAGGAGAAGGGGGCAACAGAGAATGAGATGGTTGGATGGCATCACCGACTCAATGGACATAAGTTTGAGCAAGCTCCAGGAGATAGTAAAGGACAGGGGAGCCTGGTATGCTGCAGTCTGTGGGGTCACAAAGAGTTGGACATGACTGAGCAACCGAAGGACAACAACAAGTGGTTTATAATCTTAAAAGGGAATCCTTTTGTAAAGCTACAAATGCATTTATAGTGTCAGAGACACCGTTCAGCCACTTCTAACCTAAAGTTTATGCATTGTTGGGAAGAAATGTTTCAGAGGCCCTCAGCGTGTACACTAACAAATTCTCATGGGCTATTGCAACCAAGCCACACCAAAAAACCCAAAAAGCAAAACCCCTAACATGATTACTTTGTTCTCTTTCCCAAAGACCAGTAGAGAACTCTACTTACACATCCTAGCTGTGAGTACTCAGTTATGAGGCTGAGATTGTGAAAACTTTGTGCATTTAAAAGTTTGATTGATTGTTTTTATAATGTGGATCTCTATCCAAATGGCAGCATAAAATAACACTTTCTTCCTCTTTATACATTCCATCCCTAAGCAAAACCACTCCAGGAATCCCCTGGGGAAGGCATTAATTCCTGGACAGCATCCTGGGTTAAAGGTATAGTTAATATTAACTTATTCCTTCTTGTATATTCCTGACTGAATCATAAGCTCCATCCCTCCTTCTCCAGTTCTTGATCATTGTTATCTACAAAATAAGATTACACAACAGCACAAACGCTGGGGACGCTCTGGATTGGCTAGGAGGACCAATCTGTGTGAGTGAGGGTCAGGGTCAGCCTGATTTTCTGGAAAGAAGTTGGCATCTATTCTGTTTTCAGAATGTTCCCTGGCTTCACAAGCCTAAGGAGGGGGCAGGGGCTGATACGTATTTGGAATGCTTCCCTTTCTTCTCCACAGCCAAGGTCTGCATCCCAAAAGTTGTTTCCTGCTCCTTTGGAACAGGGAGTTGTTTTTCTAGTGAGAAGCACTCTCTCCTATTCCACAGGCTTGTCCAGACTTCGTGATTCAAAGTAACACCTTCCGTGTTCCGCACTGACTCACTCCAGTGCTATGCTAGAGCCACAGAGGGGCAGAGAGTGACTCCTGTGAATTTGCCTCTGCTTCGCTAACACTGCGAACCACTCCACCTCTGTGGATTGTATCTTTCTTTGAGTTTAGGATGTAGGGTGTGGCAGCTTGAAGCTATTAGGGTAGGACTTAGGATCTAGAATAAAGCCTCAAGAAAAAAGACATTAAGGACTTGAATAAATTATTTTGGAGGCCAAAGCCAAAGACAGCAACTATTTATCAATTTATGGGTCATGGTCGATTTAAATTCCCAAGTAAGTACAGGGATCTAAAGATTACTCTGAGGCTGAGACAATGAGATAATTATAACAGTGACAGTAACTTCCATTCACCTATGTCGTCAATGTTCTAGTTTCTGGTTTGGATTGTGGGGTTTTCAAAGGTTTGTAATTAATAACGTGTGTGTATGTTAGTCACTAATTGGGGCTCGAGAGGATCCTCTGGAATTCCTGTCTGTGGAATTCTCCAGGCAAGAATACTGGAGTGAGTTGCCATTCCCTCCTCCAGGGGATCTTCCCAACTCGGGGCTCGAACCCGGGTCTCTCTCACTGCAGATTCTTTACCGTCTGAGCCACCAGGGAAACCCAAAATCTACATTCAAAAATGCTTTTCATGTTCTAGTGATGAGCATATATCATGCATGTCCCTGTGTGAAAGGGGCTGGAAGGAAGGGGAGTTTGTCATTTCCAAAATAATAATGACTCACATATGAAGAGCAAGTATGTTTTATGATCTGGACTGTAGCATTTCCATACTGGTTGCTTCGCAGGAGCAACTGGTGAGTCTCATTTAACAAATGACATAAGGTAGGAGTGAATGGATGGCATCACTGACTCAATGAACATGAGTTTGAGCAAACTCCAGGAGATGGTGAAGGACAGGGAAGCCTGGCCTGCTGCAGTTTATGGAGTCGCAAAGAGTCAGACATGACTTAGTGACTGAACAACAACAGGTGTGAATGAGCCGTGAGTTTCTCTTTGTGAAAGGAAAAACTAAGCAAGGAACAACAGAATACAAACAAATACAAAATAAAAGGAGAAAAGAAGACCTGAGGTCCCATCAGGCCTAAGTGCTGAAACCTCAGGTCCTTGAGACCGGCCAGTTTAATGCTACTGGCTTGTTTGACAGGTGGTCTAGCACAGGTTAAGCCTGCATTGGAATCCTGGTTCTGTTCTTCATTATCAATGCACTTTGGCACATGGATGAGTTTCCCTATCATGGAGAAATCAACAGTACCTCCTTCATATGGCTGCTGGGGAGTTACTCGAAGGAAAATGCTCAGAAAAATGCCTGAAACCTAAATACGGTTATTCCTTGGGTCAGTCCATCAGGCTCCAACCCCAAAGTATCCTTGATCTCAGTACTGCCGACACAGAAAGAGCTCAAGCATGATAGCCAAGTGTTGAGTACTTTTCAACAAGCACGGGACTTGGATTCAGCCTTTCATTGTGTAGCTGTGGAGTTCTATAACCACTCTGAGCTTCTACATTCCCTTGTTTGTAAAATAGGGTTAATAACTTGCCTCCCAGAGTGCCTGCTACTGCAGGTTAGCAGCAAAAGTGAGTTCCTACTCTTTTGCCATTGACTGTTTCAAGGGGCAGAACCCCTGGGTACCAATGGAGCTGGGGAATGGCACGGAACCTCCAAGCTGAGTTTTTCCTTCATTGTCTGAATCCCCAGTCCTCACCCTCCTTTGTATTCATAACTGTTATCTGTAACTTCTAGCATCCCTTTTACCTACCTCTAACCCTCTCACTAGCCTACTGCCCTTTCATTCTTTGAAGTATCAACTCTGGCCCTTATCAGAGATCTCCAGGAAGCATCTTATAACCCTGAGAACTTAAAGACCTTAAGTCCCCAGACCCATCAGAACAAAGAAAAGCCCTCACCCTTTCTTAAATGACTTCTTTTCCCATCCTTGTAAGCTCATTCCCTTAAGGGCCAAATACTGTTAATTTGCAATCAATGAAAAGAGAATGAGGGTGGGGGGTGGGGGGAAGAAAACAAAACACAGCTTAAGATTTGGCTCAATTATATATTTGAAGGTATTTTATTTTTTCTAAAAACAATAGAAAAAAATCAACTTTAAAAAGGAAAATGTACTTAAATAAAAAAATTTACCTATATAGTAGGTATAACCTTCTATAAATTTTATTAAAGTTATTTACATTTAATGGCTATATTTACAAAGGAAAATTGGGTGAAATTCAGGAGTTTTTAAAAACAATTCTTAAATACAAATCTGTTAAAGGAAAAAAAAAAACGGTAAGCATAAAAAAAAAAAGTTCTTTTATGCCTAAAGTTCCATTTGAGGCAGTTTATAGTATGACTAAATCTTTCAGTGTTCAAGATCCAGCCAAGGTTGTGAGGTTGTTCATGCATATGAAAGATGTTCCTATGTAAGGAGTTGACAGAGGAACCTTTTCCCTCACTTTCCCTTAGTAACAAATGAGAATTTCCTGAGGGAGTCCAGTTCCTCCCTCCAATAGGTCAATTTAGGCGCAAGAGTTCCGTATCTGTTCAAGTTTGAGTTTCAACTGTTCTCGTCTCTTCCGCAACACGTCTTTCTCTGAGGTGAGCTTTTGCTCCTCAGCTTGGACTGACAGGATGTACGCTGTGGCTTTTTTAAGGATAACTACCTTGGGGGCTTTTTCATTGTTCTCCAACTCTGGGATCTGGTCACGAAGAGCAAAAAAGCTGCGTTTCAGCTCGTTTCTCCTCTGGCGCTCCAAGACGTTGTGTGTCCGCCTCTTGTCATTCTCCTCCGTGTCCGAAGACCTTGGGCTGGCACATTTGCGGTTGTTGCTGATCTGTTTCAGGACCCTGCCACTGTCCAACTTAGCCCTCTTGGCAGCAGGATAGTCCTTCCTAGTGGAGGGGGGCGCTGCGTAATTGTGCTGATGGGTAGACACGTGGCATCTCTTTAGGACCAACGGGCTGTGAGGAGGTTTGCTGTGGCTGCCTGCAGAGGGTGACCCCGATTCTGACCTTTTGGCAGGGGGCTGCCTCTTTTCCACAGAAACAACATCAATTTCTTCCTCATCCTCTTGTTCTTCCTCTTTAAGAAAGAAAGAAAAAAATCACCTAGTTAACAACGGTTTCCTTAAAGCAATCAATGACCAGATGAAATTAATACTATGCCAACACAAGGGATTATTAGGTAAGAGAGGACCCAGAGGACTTCCCTGCCAGTCCAGTGGTTAAGACTCCATGCTTCCATCACAGGGGGCAAGTTTTGATCCCTGGTTGGGGAACTAAGAATCCCACATGCCATTGAGTGAGGCTAAAAAAAAAAAAAGGACCCTGGCACAAAGTTATTCCCAGACAGGTAGCCAATCATCTCTGCTTTTCTTCTCATGAAGACAGAATCTCAGGGAGGAAAATGACAGCTGGGTTTATGGCACAGACAAGAAAATTACAATTTACCAGGATACAGCACTGATGCCAATTCTTACCTAAGACTTAATGAGGCCCGGGACACACCCAGACAACGCACACTCCCAAGCACCTCCTATTTGGAAGGGACTTTATCTTTACCAGGAACCCTTCAGGTGTTGCAAATGATAGCTGCAAATCTTTGGTATAACTTTAGCAACTCCCTATCTTACTGGAAGTGCAAAAAGAAAAAAGAAAAAAAAAAAAAGCCTTGTAGCTTTGCCAAAAGTCCTAGAAGGTGGGGGAAGGAAAAAACGAAGTCTAATTTTGGAAGGGACTGGCTTTTAAATGTTCAAAAGAGGTGCAAAGATCCCAACTCAGTCCGTACACTTTTAAGGCACTTTCACTAGCTCCCGGCGCTCAGGTGGGAGGCTGCCGCGTCTCTGTACACTGCCCCTCTTCATTTTTGTTGATCTGTAGTCAATTAAATCCCAACAACTCAGAAGGGAGGAGGGAGGTAATTCATTCACTCTTGGAGAGATCAATCCTCTCTAAACTCCACAGCGACGACCCGCCCCGCCCCCTTCCAGGGTAATTAAAATGCTTAAGAAGGGTAAGAGGGAGCGGATTGAGTTGCTAGATAAGCTAGATTTAAAAACCCAAAAGAAATTCCTAAGGGGGGGGGGCGGGGAAGGGAAAGGAAAGGACTGGCCACTAGGGCGATCTTAGGGGAAGGAGTGGGAAGAACACTAAAGCTCAGTGTTTCAGGGATGGTGAGCTCCCAGACCCTTCCAGACCTGCATTTCTTTTCCAAATATAAGGGCAAAAAAGGCAGGGGGGAAGAGCGGGCAACTGAAATGTGGCCCCTTGAGTTGGCAGCCAATGAGAATAGGAAAGACACAGCCGACCGGTAAGCCGGTCCCAGCTTACCAGAGTCGCTGCTGGTCGTGGGTGGGGTCTCCTCGTGGAGCGCCAGGGGCTCGGGACTGGCCCGCGGGGAGGACTCGGCAGAGGAGAGCAGAGAGTCAGAGGACGGGGAGAAGGCGGTGGAGTCCGGGGAGGCGCAGGGCTTGGGCGAGCTGCTGTCGTTGAGCGGGTAGGGGAAGACCACCGAAGGGTCGATGCATTCGGAGGCGGCGGCGCTCAGGTCCTGCAGGTACAAGCTGGAGGTGGAGCAGCCGCCGTGCCCGCGGGCGGGGCTCGGGCTGCCGCCGTCTTTGCGCGCAGCCTGGTAAGAGGCCAGCTTCTCCGAGACGAGCTTGGCGGCGGCCGAGAAGCCGCTCCACATACAGTCCTGGATGATGATGTTTTTGATGAGGGTCTCGTCGGGGTCGCAGATGAAGCTCTGGTTCACCATGTCGCCTCCCAGCAGCTCGGTCACCATCTCCAACTGGTCCGCGGAGGAGAAGCTGCCGCCGCCGCCGTCGTCGTCTCCCCTGGGCGAGAAGGAGGCGACCGCGACGTACGAGGGCGAGCAGAGCCCGGAGCGGCGGCTCGGGGACAGGGGCGGGGTGGGCAGCAGCTCGAATTTCTTCCAGATATCCTCGCTGGGCGCCGGCGGCTGCAGTTCGCTCTGCTGCTGCTGGTGGTAGAAGTTCTCCTCCTCGTCGCAGTAGAAATAAGGCTGCACCGAATCGTAGTCGAGGTCATAGTTCCTGTTGGCGAAGCTGACGTTGAGGGGCATCGCTGCAGCCTGCCGGAGGGGGTACACAAAGACGGGGCAAGTCTTGAGTTAAAGGGGTCTTGGATGGTGCCGAAACCTCACGCCGCGCGCACCGCGCGCCACAATTCAGAACCACTCCCCTTGCAGCGCGATCCCCAAGTGGGGCTGATGGGGGGTGGGGAACGGATAAAAAAGGCACCCTTTTAGCCCACTCTGAGTGACCCTCTACTATCTCAGACACACACTTGGCGAACCAGCTCCGCAGCGCCGCGGGGCTTTTCTGCTCCCCCCCGGGGAGCCTGGAGCGCGAAGCCCGGGAGTCGGCCCCGCGACCGCCGAGCAATCGAAATCAGCTTTGGCCTCAGTCACAGGCCGGGAGAGGCGGCGGCGGCGGTGGGAAATAAGATCTGCCAAACGCCGAGGCGCAAAGTTTGCGCCACCTGAAGGAGGCGGCGAGAGGCGCCGCGGCGGGAGCGGTTGCGCTCGGCCCCCTCCCGCTCCGGGGCCCCTAGCGCCGCGCCCGTTCCCACTCGCGCGTCCTCGTCTCGCTGCTTCCCCTGCCGGCGCCGCCGCCCCTCCCGGCCTCCCTTCTCCGCCTCCCGCATCCCTGCCCCCAGCGCGCCCCCCTTCCTTGCTTTGCGGGCTTTCCTTCTCTCTCCGGCTGGGGTGGTGAGCTCAGCTTCGAGCCTTAGCCCTTCTCGAACCACCTCCCACCCCACCCTCATAAATAAAAGGAGAGTGTTAAATAATAACAGGGACGTCTCCCTTCAACACTCAATACGGCGACGCAACTGCGCCAGAGACCCTGCTACGATTCCGCGCCGGGAGCCGGGCGTCTTCACCCTCACCGGCCGAGGGTAGCAGCAGTTCTCGAAAAGCCCGGAGCCTCGCTCCTGGCTGTCCTCCGCATCTCAGGGGGTGCAGGGACACCCGCTCGGGGACCCCGGAGGCGGCCGGGGAGCCAAGACTGGGTGCAGAGATTTTGCCCTCATTTCCCCCCTCCCCGAGTCAATAATTTTAGGAGACTCGGACACATCTTTGCCCCAGCTTCCCTTTCCCCGTCCCCGCGCCTTCCCAACACCGAGTCCTAACCTCTCTGTAGACCAAAATCTTTAATTTTATTATCCTTAAAAAAAAAAAAAAGCCAAAGGCCAACTTCTAAAAGGAGCCGGGAGCGTTGGAGACGCCGAGGGGATCGGCGGGCGGGACGCGCCGCAGTGTCTGTCTCCGGCTGTCAGAAATGCAGTAAGCCGAAATTTAAATGCCCTTTTCCAGACAGGGGAAAGTCAGCGGCTGCGGAGCTCTCTTCGCTCACACACGCAATGTATAATTCTTACTCCAAGGAGCTCAGGATGTAAAGGGTTTTCTGCCAACCGCGAAGCATACCCTTCTTCTCCCCGACAAAAGGCAAAAAAGCAATTAATGCAATAAAGCATGAATGTCCACCCGGCCGGGGTCAGCGTCCATCTAAGGCGAGCAAAAACCTCTAAAGGCTACTTTCAGAAAACGCAGCCCCGGTTTCCCTCTGCCTTCCTCTCTCTTCCCATCTTGACAAGTCACTGTACCCCGACCCAGTTCTGGTTCCTCTCCACCCCACCCGGACAAGCCACAACTACTCTGAGGAAAGTGTCAATAGCGCAGGAATGGGAGAAAAGACGCTCGATTCGGGCGTTCTGCTCATCGCGGCGTTAAGGCGGTAGCAAAAATAAATGGAAAAGGCCAATAGGTCCGGGTGCTCACCCGCATTTCCATTATCCGAAGGAAATCTAGCGTCCAAAAAGCGGCGAGGAGCGCCTTTCAGAGGCGCGGGTCGTGGGCAGCGGCGGGGGAAAGTGTCTCCCCAAAAAGGCAGAAGAGCCTCTCTGCGTCCGGGGAGTCTTGGTGTCGCTCGGGTGTTGTAAGTTCCAGTGGGCAAAGTTTCGCGGATGCCGCGCGGGTGGCGGACCGATAGCAGGGGTCTGCGGGGAGGGTGGGGTGGGGGCCGGCCGGGCTGGAGGCGCAGAAGCCCCCCTTTGAATCCGGATCTCCCTTCCCCGGGCGCCCGGAGCGCGACTCCGCTCGCTAGGCTGGCTCGGCTCTTCCACCCTGTAGGGCCCGCCCGCACGCTCCCTCTGCCTCTCGCTGGAATTACTACAGCGAGTCAGATAAAGCCCAGAAAAAACCGGCTTTTATACCGAGAAGGTACGGCCCCTCCCCTCTGTTCTTTTTCCCGCCAAGCCTCAGAGTAGCCCTGCCCTTCCAGGCAGTGGTGGAGCCCGGCGGCGGCCGCGGCGAGCCAGCCGCTTCGGTAGCCGCGAGAAGCGCAGCCCGGGGGTCCTCCGCAGCGGAGACCCTCGCCTATAAAGGGCTGGTGGGCGGGGACTCACCAGAGAGGATCTTTTTTCTATCTCCCCCGCCCTCTGCTTTGGGAACCCGGGAGGGGCGCTGGTGGGGAGGGAGGACGGGAGGGGAGGAGATTCAGCTCTTTGAGCCTGGCACTCCAGTGCGCCGAGCTCTCGGATGTAAACACGGTCAGAGCGCCGCATGAATTAACTGCGCGCGCCTACCATTTTCTTCTGCTCCCGCTCAAACCGTCTCTCTGTGCTGCCTGGTTCCTCTGGAGCAGAGCTGTGTTGGACAAACCGCATACTTGTCCTGTGTGCTTAAATCATCTGGGGCAGAGCCGCTGATCCCTTGACGCTGAGAATACACCGTGTACCCACGGCTGCGCCATGCACGTCCCGGGTGGACTGGCGCCTCCCTAAGGCCGGGAAAGGGGCAGCCTTTGGAAAATAACTCCTACGAAGAGAGGAGGAAAGAAGGGGTATTGATGGGCGCGCGCTCTGAGTGTGTGTGTGTGTGGCGGGGGGGGGGGGGGGGTGTTGTTAAGTGTCGATGGGATACATGATCAGAGGTATAGGGAAGAAAAATGGTGCCTGGAATAACCAAAATAATTCTGCAACGCGCTGCCACGTATACTTGGAGAGCGCGTTATGAATAAACACCCATTGCATTTGTTGGGGGTGTTATGCATTCTGGGTGTGCGCAGCTTTCTCGACTGGGCACCTTCCACCGACAATGAATCCCCCGATTGCTGCCCAAGTCGCAGAGGACCCCCCACTCCTGGCCCTGCCCGCGCAGACCTCCACGGATCTGTGCAGGAGCCAGCGTTCCTTCCCCCTCCCCCCTCCCCGCTGTACGCGCTAATCCCTGAGATCTTTCTGCGGGTTCCGGAGCTGGAGTAAGGGAAGAGCGCGCCTGCGGGTGCGCGCCGCGGGGGACCACCCCCGTCCCTCTACACCCCCATTGCACCCCCGCGCCTCTCTCTCGGAGTTCCCAATTCCGCAGCCAGGTTTCAGAAAAGAGACGAATCCTTTTTACGCCCCGTGGCGCCGGTTTGCACCACTCTGGGGCTCCCAGGTTTGGGGAAAAATCAAAGGCGCTAGACGGGAGGATACAGCCCTGGTGAGGGGGGCGGGAGGCGCGGGACCAGACTCCCTGGAAGAGGGAAGGGGGCGAGCCGGTAGATCCTGCCTGGGGAGTCTGCAGAGTCCCCGGTGAGGAAAACCGTTAACTCTTTCCTGCTCGGACAAACCGGACGTTGACTTCCTTTCTGGGTCTGCTTTCCTCTTTATCATTGGGCTCGAAATCACACAGACACACACACACACACAGACACACACACACAATGCATCGATTCTCATCTAAGGAGAGGAGCCAAGTATTACTTCCGTGTCTTGAGCGGGGGAGGGGTGGGGGGGGTGCTGGCAGTGTCTTGAGCCAATTAAATATTGGCCGAATTTCAGGCATTGATTTCCTAGTTCACTGACTCTTAAAATTTTTTCTGAATACCATAGTGAAGTGTGTATGTATAATAGAGTCCATGTACATCTGTACACCTTTCATGTTCACGTCGACCTAGAATTTTGCCCAACACGACACATGATTTGTTCACTCCCTCAATGAATCGATATTTAACATATAATGCAAATCCCCTCGGGATTTACTATTCTGCATTATACAGAGGTGATCTATCCCAGCCCCGGTCCCTCATCCAAGGGCATTATAAGTAAACTTTTCCATGCCCCTTCCCCCTCCTTCCAAAAGTGAAAAAAATTCGGGACGGGGAGGGCTCGCCTATGTCATGCTTGTGTTTGAGATAAATTATTACCCGTTGAGTTTGCAGCTCGGCGCTCAATTGTTAAGAGTAGTGACTTCCTCCAAATCAGGCACAGGCACAAGTCGGTTTTAAGGACTGCAAATTGCTCCAGCCTCCAGGTCTTTGCCGCAAACGCAAAAGTGGCCAATCCCTAGCCAGGGTTTTGCTGCAGCGCGTCTTTCCCTGCCCCCGCCCGGAGCGGCACCCGCGCCCCACGTTTGCGAAAGTTAAAGTAAGCCTGCCCTCTACTGGCGGCCCAGGTCGCTGCGTCGGGACGCCCGCTGCGGGCGGGCGGGGCGCGTGGGGGCAGGGGCGTCCGGGAGCGCCGGCTTTGCGCCGGGCTGAGGAAGGGGCGGTTCCTTAAAATGAGTTTCCAGCCGCCGTTTTACGATTCCTTCAGGCCAACTGCAGAGAGGTGGAGAGAGGAATCACTGGAGAGAAAAGGGGTTCAGAGGCGGCTGTTCAACTGCCTAAGCGGTGGTGAAAATTAACCCGTAGCTACTCACGGGCAGGCTTCCTAGGTGGCTCAGTGGTGAAGAATCTGCCCGCTAATGCGGGAGACGCAGGAGACGCAGGTTCGATTCCTGAGTCGGGAAGATCCCCTGAAGGAGGCAATGGCAACCCATTCCAGTATATTTGCCTGAAGAAATTCCATGGACGGAGGAGCAGGTTATCATCCATGGGGTAGCAGAGTCGGACATGACTGAGCAACTGAGCACGCAGGCACTTATAGACAATGAACATCACCCTATAGAAAGCTGATTCCATTTATGGGAAACGGTGAAATAATTAACAAGTATACACACGAAAGAAATTCCAGCAAAATTGTAAAGCAGCAAAACACGCTTTAGACCACACACCGTTGAAACCAATCATCTTCTAGCCACCAAGTTTTAGAGAAAGACATTAGATTTAGTGGGGAAGTGGAGGCAAGGGGGAGGTGAGGAGTTAGTTTTGCTACTGTTTTATTTAAATGAAAAAAAATTGGTGAAGAGCCAGATGTTTTCATAACGATGAAGGGGGGGGTGGCGAGGCATTTGGGATTCCACTGGGAAAAAAGTGTAAAGGATCATTTGAAGAAAAAGCTTTCATATCAAAACAACTGAGCAATAAAGGTGGAAGTAAATGTGAAGGAAACTTGCATAGCATGCTTAATGAGTGTGACTATTTCAGACAGGTCTCTGTGACCAGAAGGATGTTTGCCAGTGTCTGATCACCTAGATAGATCCTCAGGAAACGTTGGCAGTAGGAACTCCTTCCTGAAAGAGGTCTCTTCGGCTGGTTTCCTAGAAACCTTGCTCTTTTGGCATTACTCTGTGGAGGTTGAATGACTGCTCTCTACTGTGGCAAGGAAAAAAAAAAAAACCCACAAAAACTCAAAACCAATAAATCAAGCAACAACAATAAAAGTAGGTCTAGTTTGACCTCAGATGGTTGTTTCTGAAAGTTGCTAAAGATGGCTGTTATAGCTGTCTTAAGGTCTGACTACCAAACCCTGCCAGCCATGTGTAGGCAATGTGAACCTCAAGCAGAGATGCTGTTGGTGGCTTCAGGACTCAACCTTCCCTCCTAGGCTAGTAGTGTCAACTGTGGTGGTATTTTCAAGTAGCAGCCTGGAGTTTTGTGCTTCCAAATAAGGTAGGGGCCATCCCATTTCACAGCCGAGGAAATGGAAAGCCATGTCTCAGCAAGGCTTGTCTTAAGGGACTTCTCTATCTTTCTTTTAGTAATTTTAAAGAGCCATTTGACCTAGAAGAGACATTTGCTGGGTTGAGAAGTGGCAAGGGATTTTAAAACTAATAATATCATTCGAGATGACCAAAGAGATGCATGTTACTGTAAAATAAAAGTTATAAATAGAAAAATAACAGAACTTAAAGAGTTTTTGATCTCTTTTGAGATCTCTTTTGATCATAAAGAGTTTCTGATCCTGATCACCTGGAGATAGCTGATGAAGTTTGTCTTTTAAGAAAAGTTTTTAAGGGACAGCCTGGGTCTTTCTACTTCCTTTTGGAAGTCAGGGCAAGGTGTCTATTAAATGAGCATTTCTGGTTTGTTGGTCTAAGGACGCTCCCAGGCTGCGTGTCTCCTTCCTTTCTAGGGTGCTGCTGGGTTTCTAAGAAGAGACAGGTTGCCCAAACGGCAGCTGTGTTTTCACCCACAGGGTTGGGACTCCAGGTCCAGTGAGATTGCCTCACGGAAGAGAACATTGGGTCACTGCAGGAAACTTTTTTTTTTCCCTCCAGGGTGGTATAACTGGAAGTCATTTGATCTCTGCATATTCTTACATTGATAGTCATGCGTCAGTTTTATACTTAGGAAAAATGAAGTACAGAAAGAATGAGCAATTTGACCACACTTTCTCCTTTCTTTGCAGGCACAGGATGGTGAGATTCAGAAGGTGTGACTTGTATAAGGTAACCCCAGTCTCCTCCCCTTCTTTGAATATCTCTCCCCCTCCAGCCCACCCCGAGAAACTTTCCTATGGATCTTCGATAGACAAGAGCAGTGGAAAGAAACTGGACGTGGGTGATCAAAAAGCTAGCTGCAACCTGGAGATGAGACAGAAAACCCCTCAAAGGTGATTGGGATGCTATTTCAAAACCCTTTTAGGGACTTCCCTGATAGTCTAGTGGTTAAGACTCTGTGTCCAATGCAGGGGGCCTGGGTTCAATCCCTGGTTTGGGAAATTAAGGTCCCACATGCTGCTCTGTATGGCCAAAATCAATAAGTAACTGACTTAAAAAAAAAAAGAAAGAAAAACCCTTCAAGTCATTGAGGACTGTCAAGGAAAGGGTCGGGGGAGAATGATAAATACATACATAGCTCCAGCAGAAAGATCATTTGGAAAGGACTGTTAGATTAAAACCAAGCTAGCCAAGGAATGTTAAAAGAAGGGAAAGTCTGACGAGCATTTTAATGCCAACCTTGTTCCCAATGAGAGGAGTACAGGAAAGCTCTCCAACAGACAAGCAAATAAAATCCAGCATCATTAATTCATAGGAATGATATAAAAAAAAAGCAGTGAAGAAAAGCTTTGTGCCTTTTTAAAAATGCATGTTTTTGAATGTTGTTTCTCTCCCCCTACTCTTGCTTCTAGCATACTGCATACATTAAAGCAGCTGAAAAAGAAAAAAAAAATCAGCAAGTGTTTTTAACATAAAGCTCTAGAGCCTACGTTTCCTGTGTCGCGTTGAGGACATTCTGTTGCCTGTCTTACCCACGGACCTTAGATCCTGGCGGAGGGTCCGAGTTGGACTCGGTAAACCCTGGTCCCCTCTCCAGCTTGGCATTCTTCTTTCACTCTTCAGTCCCTCGCTGTAATCTTGCCTCACTTTGTAGCTGCTGGAATAGACAAATGGTTCCTTTGTTTAGCCTCTTCAAAGG